CCCCCAAATAATTATGTTAAGAGCCGACTAAAAGCCTGTCCCTTCTCTTTAGGACTGAAGTTATATGGAGTAGGGTCAGTGTGAAGTGGTTTCATTCATTAATGTGAAGAACATCATTTTCTCAGTGGGTGTTGATAAGTGGTCTATCTTTTCTATCCGGTTTGTTGATGCAAGCCACCTGAACTTGGATTACTATCACACAATATGTAATGTATTGAAATATATAAAGATGGCATACGCACAAGGTGGACTTACATTTCCCTAAAAGAAAGGGAATTGTGTGCCAACCCTTTATTTACCCATATTCTTTAGTAAGTGACTGAAGTGAAAACTTGATTATTGGAGCGAGTTGGAAAAGGAAAGTCAGGAAATGTTATTCAGCTCGAATCAGGGCTGTGATCTTGTTATATTTGCAGCATAATAGATAGGGCACACCAGATAATAAGGGTTCCTATTTAACAAGAGAGAAGCAGTGAGTGGGATGTGAAAAGCGTTCCACAGAGATGGCTATGAACCGCAGCCACCTCGTTGGCTGAGTTTGATTTAGTTTTCTACAATCAAGAGATATCAGGAAGTATTTTTCTGCTGAATAACATTTGACACTTGATTATCCCCAGAATTACCAACAGAGTATTCTTCCTCATAACATGTATTATATTCATGTAAGTGAAAACCAAAAGTCAATCCTTCTAGTCTAACACGACCCCCTGTATGCGTGAAAGGTAACAGGAAATTGTTTGTTTCTTGCTTTGTCCCAAACAGCAGCGGATCTTGTTAGCTTTTATTTACGTCACTTAAAAAAGAGGTTCCTTTGGTGACATGTTTTCACAGCAGGTAGCAACACATCTCCTCCTGCAGTATAGGAAGCAGACTGACACAATAAACACTCACACAAATCTCACCATCTTCCGCCATCTATTTATATGAATCTATACATGTATTTATTCAAGAGGAGAGTTTTGTGAACATTTGGAGAAGCACACTTATTTGCTCCCTTACTTGGAGTAAGATGAATGAATGATACCTTTTAAGGCCCCGGCTCCAAGGGAACGCATACGGCAAAACGCATCGGAGTAACGCAAACGCAAAAAACCTTCCGCCCACACGCAATATACACCGGATTGTGTCAAGCTCCACGAGACGGCTCCGTTTACATCCAACCGCTGGAAAAGCTGCAGTACATATGCCGAACCTGTACGTGGCGCTGTAACTTCCTCCACAAAAGCAGCAACTTCCTCCACAAAAGCAGCGAAGAAGAATGGTTGTCATGGCTGCACTTCTGTTTATTCTCCGCGGTGGGGGCGGAGGGAACCGCGCAGAGTTTTTCGCCGGTCAATGTGTGTTAAAGTTTAAATCTTCATGCTTCCTCATGCAGCAGCTGATCCAGTAAGTAAACCCGACAGTAAAAATAAACATATTTATAACTAGTTTAGGTAGTTTGAGAGGTAATTAAAATAGCTAAGGGTGGTGATCTGACTTGAAGTGTGTGTTTTGCTCCCGCTGCTTCACAGCCGGAGGAGCTGCGTGTCTCCGTCCTGTCAGATTAGACTTCACTCGCGTTTATGTTCATATCGAGATAAAGATAAATAATCTGAATTCAGTGTGCAGTGTACTTTTGCGGGGGTGAGCAGCAGAGGTGGGGAGAGGCGGGGAGAGGCGGGGCTATGAAACGCATGACCGTATAGGCGACCCCACGGCCCCGTTGGACCCCCCAGAGCGCTCCGTTCCCAGATCTATCCACCTTTGGACCCGTTGTCGTTTGCGGGGTCTGTTTCTACGTTTCCGTTACGGCGTCGTCGAGCTTAAAGGGCTATACGCATGAGAAATATGCGGATTCAACCCGTTTTCGTCCCCGTGGAGCCTAGGCCTAAGTCTGTATACGCTAAATACTGTATGAAGCCTGAAGCAGCTGGGTAGCTTAGCTTAGCATATTGACTGGAAACAGAGGAAACCGGCTGGCATGACTCTATCTGAAGCACATCTAAAGCTAATTTATTAACAGGGTTATTATCTCGTTTGTTTAATCCGTACAAACACTTGTTTTAAAGTGGCTTGTGAGTGACTGTTTCTTGGCTTGAGAAAAATGTGTGAAGAGGCCAGGCACCAAGCAGAGAAAAAATAGTTTTACAGAATATTAAACTACTCCTTTTAATAAAAACAATATCAAAACATGGCTCCCGTCAGTAGTAACTCTCAGAGGACTCCAGTGTAGTAACTAATGAGTTGGCCCACTGGTTGCAGGTAATCTAAGCCCTCCAGCGGCACAGTGTCAGAGAAGAGGCTTTTAGCCCACTGCAGTATAGTAGCTGCTCACATTAAACTACTTTAAGCACAAGGGCTTTGGTAGCAAAAGAGGTTTCCTGTTGTGAGCTAAAAAACACTTATGCATGTTTTTAGAGAATGTGTCAGGAGAGCAGTCGTTTTGCTTTCAACCACGCGCAGTGAGAACAGGGGGTTGGACTTTGGATGGCAAATGTTTGTTTTCCATGAGGCCTGATCTGCTCTTCTGTTGCTTTTAGTATGTGGATTTCCATGCCTTTTTGCACAAAGACACCCATTGATGCATATTGTAAACGATTAGGAAACTAGATTTGATTGTAAAGAAATACCTGAAATACACATAATGTATTCCTGCAGTGCATGGAAGGACAGAAAATAAGTGCCTGCATGGATATCACTTCTCCATGAAAAGACTATTAAATTGAAGCGTCTTCCTCTCCATGTCCTCCTCCTCCTCCAGCTCCACGCACATTAGCTTCAGCTCTGTATGTTTCCCAGGTGGTTCCTTCTTTTCATCTGGTAATAATTCTTGGAAGCTTTGACCGAGCCACCGGGTATGTTAGTCATTAATATGGCTGTCAGCAGGAGGAGACATGCTCGTGCTTCCCCATCTCACCTACATTATTAAGCGTAAAGAAATTGCAATGAGGCCCAAGGACTGTCTTAGTTCATTAAAAGTCTTCACACACTGGTTATAAATGATTAGTACCAGTGCTAACATGATTTGCGAATGTGAATGGAGCCTTTTTACCGAGTCACAGTGAGTGCTCTCTTGTATCCGACACCAGGAGCGTTGATGTTGCCAAGCGGTCACAGGTGCAGGATGTGAGGCGGCAGCAGCAGAGTTTTTTGGCTCTTCTCAAAGACGGCTTTGATTTCACTTCCTGAGGCAGGTGCTCCGAGGTTTCCTGTTTCTCTTGGACCAATGAGAGATGTTTCTTGTCCTCGTTCGGAGGCTAGTTCGGCTTGAATGTCGCTTTTTCTTCAAGGAATTCCACCTCTGAAGAATAGGTGAAGGGGGAGCGATAAAAAAAGAGTGACAGGAGAAAAAGGAAGAGGGTGAATCTGTCCTTGTAAAAGTGCCCTTCCATTCCACCCGCCTGAGTGTGCTCCCCAGACAACAACTTGTGAATTTCACGCAATTAACCAGGCTGTGATATAAGTTAATTAATGACATGCATTTGGCTCTGAGGGGGAAAAAAGAGAAAGGTGAACACATGATAACAAGCATCAAGAGGGAAGCAGAGGACTGTTTAATGTCATGGAATATCCAGCAGCTGCTGTGCTGTACAGAAATAGAAGAAAGTTAAGAAGACAAAGGTAGAGAGAATACATTAAATGTAAATAAAGCCTATGTTGTATTTTCGGAAAGATAGCTGGAGGCGGGTTTCAGCTTTAAGCAGATGTCTGGTAAACAGCCTCGCATGAAAAGGTAGAGAGAAACAAGACATAGCAGGAGATGCAGAGGAGAGGAACAGGATATGTTGTCTTTGAGGAAATTAGAGCTTCTGTGAATAACTACACTCAACCTTATTCTTTATCTTGATGCGTGGGTGAGGAGCCAGAGGATTATAGAGTGTGGCAGGGAGATAGATGAAAGGAGAGAATGCAGCAGCAGAGAGGAGATTGACAGGAGGGTTCATGTGTGATTCACCTCTTTATCAACACGCAGCCAAGCCACATTACACCGGCAGCAGGCGATTTAACGTTTTCACTTAAAACGCTTAATACCTGAAAGCTCCTAATAACTTAATCGGGCTTCTTGAAGAAATTGGTACGATCTGGTTTAATGGACAACATGTACCATTCCATTTTACTCAATATTTTCCCCTCTAAAACCTGACGTTAATCAGTAGCTAATGCTAATGCTGTTTTTTTTTTATGGAGTAACATTTGAATAGGAAGACATGACATTTTTGTGGAAATTAAGTCAGTATGTTATTTAAATGCATTAAATAACATACTGACGTACAGTACATTTAAATAGGAAGAAGAAGAGGTTTGACCATGTAGTATTTTCAGTACATGTAATCGACTAGTCAAATTGCGCACGTCCCTATCATGTACTGTGTTTTAAAATGAATAAGAAAGAAATGTTGCACATCGATCTCCTTTTTGCACTTAATACGCCTGAATGTGTAATTGTCAGAAACATTGACAGAATAAAACAAAATACTATGTAAAGGATGATTTTTCGAAAGCTCGCCAATGTCACAAATTGTTGTTCTCACTAAAATCACTTCTCAGTAACCTAGGGCAACATTTATTTTTGGTAATTTACTCTGTGGGAATAGACATGCGTAAAACATGTTTACATTCTCTCAATAATGGTTTTAAACAATTCTGTTAAAAACACAAGAGAACATTTTTTCATGAGAATAAAAATGTATTGATTGATTTTATTACATATAAATGTATTTCTTCCTTTTTTTCTATTTCTTATTGATGCCTCTTAATTTGAGAATTTGTACAGTTTATGTCTGTTTGACTATGTAGGTATTTAACTTTTATTCCTCGGGATTGTGAGAAACAGCATTTCAATCTCCCTATCTGTATCTCACACAGAAGATTGACAATAAAGACTTTGAAATGTATGCTTTTATGTATGTCGGTTTTTTTCACTTTAATCCCTGACCCAATATTGCTAGTCTCTGATGCTAACCAACAATACCCCCCACCCCTTGTCTCTCTCTCTCTCCCCCCCTCATCCTCCCTTGCAGCCATGAAGTCGGACCGCAAGCGTCTGAAGGCGGAGAAAGCAGACCTGGTGAACCAGATGCAGCAGCTTTACGCCACACTGGAGAGCCGGGAGGAGCAGCTCCGCGACTTCATCCGCAACTATGAGCAGCACAGAAAAGTATGGCAACTGTGTTCTGACCATTAACAGGCACACACAAGCGCAAACACAAAAACATCCATAAAATAGTACCTTCTTGTTTAGCTAGCTGTGATGGATCGATGCACATTGGCACAGAAGGCCTCTTTCAGCTCTAAACAATCACTAGTTTCATAAATACGTGAGTCCTTAAAATAAAATATGTGTGCATGCAGTGTACAGTATTTTTGGGGTAAAAAAATAGAAAAAGCGGTTTTCTATGAGCTCAACATCTTCCTGTCATTAAACAACTGTTTTGATACTCTCTAATCTGGATTCCAGCCACATCATAGCACTGCTCTTATAAGGGTTTTAAATGACACTTATTTAAACACCGACAATGGCAACATCACCATCTTAATACTGCTGTACCTCAGTGCAGTGATCAATACAGTTGACCTTAAAATGAATCGTAAAAATGGGCTGGATTATCTGGCAAAGCATGTGATGCATTTGAATCACATATGCAGGACAGAGACTTTTTTGTTTCAGTTTAAGTCGTGAAAAATACCCATGACGGGTGGAGTTCCCCAAGGGTCCATTCTTGGTCCAGTTCTTTTCAATGTTTACATACTTCCACTTGCACATATCCTGAGAAAAAACCTTTCATACCATAACTACGTGGATGACACTCAGATCTACATTACAATTACAATCAACCCAATTAACGACTATGGACCATTACATTTCTTATAATTAAATAACAACAAAACAGAAATAATTATTTTCGGTGCCAAAAAGGCCACTCCACTCGAAGCCTACTGTTCGAGACATCAGACCGTATCAGAAAACCTCGTTCATTTAGCAGCTTTGATATTTGTTTATATTAATGATACGCTTGATATGTGAACCAATCCATCAGGATGTGTGTGTTTACTAGGAGAGCGAGGATGCGGTGAAGGCCCTGGCCAAAGAGAAGGACCTGCTGGAGAGAGAGAAGTGGGACCTGCGGCGGCAGACCAAGGAAGCCACGGAGCACACGGGGCTGCTGCGATCCCAACTCGACCTCAAGGAGAACCGCATCAAGGAGCTGGAGGCTGAGCTGGCCATGGTGAGACACACACACACACACACACACACACACACACACACACACACCACACACACACACACACACACACACACACACACACACACAACCACACACACACACACACACACACACACACACACACACACACACACACACACACACACAGGACCATAGACACACAGGTCGAGAGACTCTGTGATGCGTTTCTTTGTCATTGTTAACTCAGATTTTCTCTGTTTATAAGATATTTACAGCAAACATTAGCAGAACATACAGATACAAATAAGGGCTGCACAATATATCATTTAAAAATTAATTTTAAAGAGTTATTTGAAATACAGTATCAGTAGAAAACAACACTAACATGTAACCATCTGTTGTTGTTTTATATTGGGGATTTTTGTATTCAGTTTAATGTTAAAGGTCCCATGTCATGCTTTTCCGGTTATTACCCGTCCCCTTGTGTGTTATGTAGCTTTTTCTGCATGTAAACGGTCTGCAAAGTCACAAACCCTCAAAGTACACCCTGTAGCGAGTAAAACTCTAACACAGAAAAGACCTGGCTATGCTGCCCCAGAACGCCTCGTTGGAGATTTTTCTTTTTCCATTTTTTTCTTCATGAGTATAGTGACGTAACGATACCCAGGTCCAAATGGACCAATCCGTGGAGCTCCTCACACACACACACTCACTTACTGGTGTCCTTTTCTGGTTGCTAACGCCATTGTAACACATAAACACTGATGTTCCGCTGTAACGGTGGTGGACTCATCAGAACAGAGTGGGCGAGCTGACCAATCAGAGCAAAGTGGGCTCATAGGGAGGGGGGGGCAGGAGCTCCAACAAGCCGTTTAGGAAATAGAGTGAATACACATACTATACAGAGATGCTGTATGAGAAACCAATGTGAGTTTGGAAAATTGAACAATGTAAATCTATTCTAGTAGACCTCAACAATGGAATTATGATCAGTAGAAATGGCCATGTCATGGGACCTTTAAAAACAGAAAATGTTGTAATTAATTTTCACAATTGTATTTTCTTCAGCAAGCAATTTGTTGTATTTGAAAAGTGTACTGAAAGCAGGGGTGTACAACAGAACTGTGTACACTTTAATATCTGTTTATTTAATGCAAGTTGCAGTATATCGCAATATTAAACACCGTTATCACATATCACATATTTAGCTAATACGGTGCAGTCCTAATACAGAAAATAAATGATAGGTTTCATTACTGTTTCATTATAGTACGTCTGTCTATCACTATTGGACCAATTTTCAATGTACTGCATATAACCAAACAGAAAAACCTTAAATGTACACTATAGCTTGCATCATGTCTCCACCCCCCCCCCCCCAGATGAGTAACTGTGTCAATCAGAGAATGGAGTTCCGGGTGTTTGAGCGTGTATCGGACAGGGACTACTCTCCTAGGGTCAACGCGGTAAGATGGGCCCTCAACTTTGAAATGTGACCTTTCTTGACCCTCAACTCCCTGGGAATCTCTCCTGCTGGTGACCTAATGTGATTTTTATGGAAAGCCCCCCCTCTTCCTAGCTGCACGTGTTCGACTAACCCCCAGCCGCCCCTGACTGATCCCAGTGATCCTTATATCAGTGATCCCACGAGTTCCTGCTGTGATTGATCTGAATGTGCTTTTTTTAATTGAGCGAGGGAAATATTCTGATGACTAATCATTACTCCTGAGGTCTGTGATTGTATTCTGTTTTGCATGTCAAAGAGTGTGATTGATAATCGTTTGACCGCTGGTGGGGAGAGATGATTGCCACGTACTGTAGCTGATTGCTTCGGTGTTGATTTGCAGAATGCCGTCGCTTGGCATGGGGATAAGATTTGCACAATAACAAGGTTTCAAGCATTTGTGAAACACTGACAAACAAAGTGTAATCAGAAACAAAGGTTTTGACAGACACAAAATACACCTGCACAAACACATCTCTCAGAACTCCAGCAGCTCATTGTGTTCTCTGCCAAGAGATTAGTGCCAAAGCTAAAGAAAATGTTCCTTATTTCCATTTTCCAATCTCTGAGAAGTCAAACGCTAAAATCCTCCTCCAGATATTCTTCCCTTTCCTTCTCTGCGCTCTATGGAGGGGTAAGATGAGATTTCACACAACAAAAGGCTAACATGAAATCAGCTGCATTTTTCATGACAACATCCCATGAGGAGCCCAGGGGAGAGCTCACACGTCTCCATGCACTCAGAGACTTAGTACCAGGATTCTGGATACACACACATTCACGTGTGCGCACACATATGACCGATAAATAAAAACAACAATAACTGTGACAGCGCTAACATCCCAGCATCATTTCTCTACTTGATGTTTTTCTTCCATCTGTCTGTGTACCCTCTGAAGGCCAAACAGTCTCTAGCCACTCTGACCAAGGACGTGCCAAAGCGTCACTCTCTGGCCATGCCCACGGAAACGGTTGTCAATGGCAACAACCAGGAGTGGGTGATGCACGCTGATCTTCCCCTGACGGCTGCCATCAGACAGAGTCAGCAGAGCCTCTACGTCCACACGGGGCATGCCACTGACAGACAAGGTAGGAACAACATGAGCACATGTACTGTTACACCAGCCTGGTCTCCGGAAAAAATCCTTTCCTTAACATCAAAACTGTGTTGTCAGTTACGCTTTCGAGGGAGATTGACTTTTTCCTGGGTTAAGTTTGGCAAACAACTTTCTAATGAGTCCACAGAAGTGTGTGCATTGAGGAGGTCCGAGTGTATGGGTGGGTAAACAACACAATAGACCGCTCTCTGTGTCCCATGTTGAACCAAAAGTCAATGTTGACTTATTTAAATGTATGTCTACAAACAAAACAAGTCATTTGCTTGCCTAAACACAACATGTTGTCGTCTTTGTTTTGTTTTTACAACATTAACCACGTGTTAAATACCGCAACCCTAATCTGAGATAAATACTTTTCCCTCGAAGCGTTATTGAGAATGCAGTTTAGTTTTACGTTATTTGTAGGAAACTGGGTTGGTAACACACACAGTGACTGTACCATCATTAACCTCTGCATGCTCATGGGAAGCTGCTTCGCACTCATTCACTCCTCTGCTCATCTGCTCAGAGCGAACACATTACATTTCATGCGCTTCATATATGTTCAGATACAGCTCACATAACTGTAGCTGAATAAATGTTTCCTCTGTGTTTAATAAAGGTGGCAGCTGATGATCAGCTGGGTGTTGAGTCCTGTGTCTGTCTGGTTAAATGTCGTTATTTAACTGTTTTAATATTTGTCTACATTTTGCACCTTTTTTTACCTGACATTTGTTGACCCTTATTCCACTTTCCTGGCTCCTTTCAACATTACATACTGTACGATCACCTTTTCACTGACTACACTGGTCAAAATTGGTCCATATTTTAAAATGTAAAGGATAAAAAACTGACTTTATAGTGAAATAATAATGATCCCGTCAGATTTAATATGTAAGTGTCATTCGTTGTGGTATTCCGATACAAATACTAATTACCTGTTAAGAAATGTATTCAGTCACCTAATCTGATAGTAACCTAATCTTAGTAACCTAAAGTATCACATTAATAATTTGGAAATATGTGTGACATGTGGTGTAAAATGTTCTTTGCACAAATGTTTACTATAACATTGTCATTGTAATCCTGCTCACAATCCCCATTTTTAGTAAATGTAACTAACTAATCTGATTACATCGGCCTGAGAGGGTTACCAAAACTTCAAAAAACATGAAACTAAACATATCTAATCTGGCCCCTGCAGTTCCACTCAAATCACTTCTTTCCAGAGTAACGACCCTCTCATCCTCCCTTACCTTGTGTCAGCCGCGGGTTCAGACAGGTTGCTCACTAATTGTTGACGTTTGTAGGAAGAGGCAGACAAAGTTACAAAACAGGAAAAAGTGTGATCAGTCACGAACCCCCAAATTGCCATGCAGTCTGCTGTACTGTATGTATCCGTATCATTGATGGCACACACACACAAACACACACACTCAACCTCTGTGAAGCTGTTTTCCCTGTTGCTTAGCAACTGCAGATGATTGCAAATAATTGCAGGCTTCTGGTCAGGGGCTTTTAAAATATATTTTCATTCAAGGGTGTTGTTGAGAAGAATCCGATGTTTCCTGTTCACTGCTGTTGGTGCCCAAACACGGTCCGAAAGAAAACAAGTGTTCTGTGTTCTCCCTCTCGTCTCGTCTAGTGGCGGCCGTGCGGGTCAGCCCGTGCCACTCGCGCCATTCCTCCATCATCTCCGACGCCTCGGCGCTGGAGGGGGACCGGTCGTCCACGCCCAGCGACATCAACTCCCCGCGCCACCGGACTCACTCCCTCTGCAATGTAAGAGCTGCCTCACAAGTATTCACCCGCTTTGTAGCAACATGCCGAGTTTCCCGCTCCCTGGCCGCTCTCGCTTTCCTCCAACCAGATCATCCCGCAGTCTGTCTGCAGCTGTGAATATATGTTAAAAACCAGCTGTGGTTGTTGCATAAGTGCATGCCTGGCAGCATGTCAAGTAACACTTCCCCTCTGTGTTGTGATCTTTATCTTTAGTGGTCATTATCGCCCACTCCGCACCACTTCACTGACTTCTCCGCTCGTGTTTCCCTCTGTTCCTTCTCTTCATCTGCTCCGCTCCCTCTTTCTTTCTCTTCCCTCAGTCCCTAGAAGATCTGGAGGAGGCGAAGCGAAAGAAGAAGAAAGAGAAGATAGGCCTGGGCTCTCTCTCGCGTGTCTTCGCCCGGGGGAAGCAGCGCAAGTCCCTCGACCCTGGTTTGTTTGATGGTACTTCCACGCCTGATTATTACATAGAGGAAGATGCAGACTGGTAAAGCACACATGTCCGAGCGAGGCACCTGGAGAGCCTTTGTGGCCATTATCAGAGGACTGCATTGTGTTGTGTGAGAGAGGATGGGCGTGTGTTTGATGTCAGTGTGTACAGACATGATAATGTGTGCACTTTCACACGCATGCATACATACTGTATGTGTGTGCATGCGTGTGGTGTCCATGGTCAGAGGCCATGTCAGAAGCCGGAGGCAGGTCTTGCTTCGCTGAAGTGTAAACCTTTACGAGCAAATTGCACCTGTATGTATGTCCAGTCCTGTAAATAGTGTGACACAGCGACCATGTGGATATGTTCTATTGTATCTGCCCTCCAAAAAACAGCTGTGTTATTGGATCTTTTAATTGTTCTCTACATTTTGACTTTTTGTTTTCACTCAACTGGAAACTTGAAGGACTGCTGTACTTGTAAATAACAACATTTGACGTGCGTGTAAATGTCTCCTTGTCCTGAATGCCTTTTTTGTTATTTTTTTGACATGTACCCCCCCCCCCCCCCCCCCCCCCCCCCCCCCCTCTCACTACATTCTAACTTGAACTCCTCCCTGTTTATTGTCCTGCCTGGTCCATCCCCCTTCCTTCCACACTGCCATGATGAGAACAGTTTCCTGTCGGCAACATGCAGACTCCTCAAATCCGCCTCTAATTCGGTTGTACAACACATCCCTTTACCGCCATGAAAAGTGTGCAATCCTTGATGTTCGCTCAAATGAAACTTCAAAGGCGCTGCTAAGCAAGGAATAAACGTTCTATGCAGAACAGTTTGTTCCGTGGCAACATGAAGCCAAACAGGAAATAGAAGAAATGTGTTTTCTGCCTGCTGAGATAGAAAGTACATGTGTGACATGCATGCACATAGTCCCAGTCCCCGAATGCATGTTGAGCAAACCCTACTAAACAGACATGTCTTTCTCTGAGTATGTTGTGGAGGAGAAAAGAAAAAAGAGACAGGTCAGTTACTGATTTAGTAATGTTTATTCATTCTTTTCTCTCAAATTAGATACGGGAAAACATTCGGATTAATGTTCAAGAGCTAGGCTGCTTATGCTAAATTGCATTTGAAATATTAAAGGTCAGCAAAGTCAACAGTCACAAAGAAAACACAGTGCTAAACTTTAAAACTTTTAAATGTCGCTTATTCATGAGATTTTGTGCCATTGTTTTCTACAGTAGCTTGTAGCTATAGTTTTATTAATATAAGAATGAAATGCTTTTGGGAGTAGAGTTTAAAAAAAAGAACCCATAGCATAAGTAAGCATGAACATCACTTATTCTATCACAGCAGATAATAAAAGGATGGTCAAGGCTTTTCAAACCTCAGGAATGAGCTATTTCCACCAGATAATCTGAATTTCAATTGAGTGGCGTGAGCAGACATTAAATGAACTGTTATAACAATAACAAGTGCAGACCCAGGAGGTTAAAAATCAGATTTAAGCGGGCTAATCAAACTGAAGCAAATGCATACCTTCTCCCATGACCCCCTAAATTCTGATTCCGAGTTCAGGCCGTTGCTGCAAAAAGCAATTAACTCCGTGCCAAAGGTTAATAGTGTTTCTTCAGGCAAAAGAATGACTACAGACGCTGGATTATTTTCCATCCTTTCATTGGATTGAGCCGGAGTCTGCACTGCCACCCCCAGGAAATCATTTCTCTCCCTGATATTAAACTAACACTGGGTATTTGTCAGTCTCATCTGAAACACTATAGAGTCACAGATTACATTGGGGCTGTATTTAAACACAGTGCTTGTCAAAAAAGCGCCTATGTAAGCAGTGAGGAGATTATCATTGAACTCTTAGTTCAACCCACATTTGACCCGGCAGATATTGGATTTAGACGTAAATCACTAAGGTAATTTATAGATTAATTCATCATGTATTAAATGTATGTATAGGAATAACAGCTTTCAGAGATTTCATTAAGCATTGAATGAAATGTATGAAAATCTAGGCTATTTTTATTTTTTCATTTAACTGACCCCTGCTGACGGGGGAAAAACATATCAAATGAAAACATTGTATTATTTTTATGTTATGAGCCACGGTATCTGTTTATTTTTATTTTACAGAAATATTTTACTTTTTGTAAATGAGATAAGATTACAGAAATAAAATTAATATTATTATTATTATTATTATTATTATTATTAAAGAGTTTTTATTTAAAGTCAAAGATGTAGGCCTCGGTGGAGGACTTCTATTGTGAGGTCCTGAGATGTTTAGAAGTGGATAGTAGCGAACTTTTAAGGCATGGCAACAAAATTACGCTCTAAAGAACTAAATGAGAAAATAAGATTATTTTAAAATAAAAGAAGTAACGTTGAACTTTCATGTGGCTGTCCTCTCTTTCCCTGTGTTAATGTCTGTGTGTTCATTTGTCCTGGTATGGCTCTAATCCTGATCTGTCCCTTGATGCTGGAGGGGGCGGCCATTTTTAACATATGTGCTCACCTCCCTCAACCCTGCAAGTCCATCTGTGAGAGGACTGCATCCCAAACCCTTCATCGTGGCCTCCTTTCCTCACTTTCCCATTTTTAACTCCTTGGTCGACCTGAAATCTCATTGCTTTCTCATCGATATTAAAATCACTGATCAGAACAAAGAGGAGTGGGGAAAGGACGCCATGTCAGATTGTTGGAACAGAACTCATATGTGTCAGCACATGGCATCGATAATGTTCTGCTTGGTTTGAACCCTGACCTCTAACACCGCCCCCTCTTGCCTGACCTCCACCGGACTCTGAACACAGTGAAGCGACCCAACGAGTAATCAATCAGACTCACTCACATCAAGGTACACAAGTTCCAATTGCTGTAAAAAATGAGCTGTGCTGGGTTGTTAACTGTGTTTGCAGATGCCTTCTAACCCTCAAACATCACAAAATGACCTTTAAATTAAGCACTTCTTCAAGTTCAATCTAAATCTGGTGCAAATCATCCGAAATGTTATCCTACTATATATGATAGGCTTTCTGGGGCAACAACAAGTTCAGATTGACTCGTGAATCTGGAAGTTAAAGGAAGTTTGCATTTTGGGAAATATTCTTATTTGCTTTTATTTGGAAAGTTGATAACGCATTCATGACTGTAAGTGTGTATGGAGCTAAGGCCGGTTAGCTTAGCATAGATTGGACTCAGGCTGTTGCTTCATATTTGTCGCACTAAAATCTCATCTAATTCTCAACAAGAAAGTGAATAAGCATGTTTCCCAAAAAGTCAAACTGTTTTGTAGTCTGTGAACTGTAATTCAAGCTATGGACAGCAGCCGTCACTTTACCCTCAAGCTAGATAGCTAACTAGCTCAAATGTGCAAGGTACAGCTCTGGCTAGCCACCTTGGGTGTGATCACTTTATAAAATATATTCTAAAACATGTTTTATTCCAGAATCTGGACATTTCTAGCCAATGTATAATGTGCCTTTTGGTACACACAACACTACTTGCTCCTCCTTACCTAACACCAGCCATTACACCCGCTATTTAAGGATTGATTACCTAAACAAACCTCTCCTGTGTTTTAAGAAAAATGTACACGCTGCTGTTTACTCCACGTAAAGGATAACCCATAGCACTGTTTAAAACACACACTTTACACTCTTGGCCTCTGTTAAAGGATCAAACAGCAGTACGACCACATCGCTGTAGGAGGACTCTTCTTAGACTCTTTCAGGGTTTAAAAGAAAAGGTGTGTGAGGGTTAGCCCCACAGGAGGATCTGACTCGGGTCACAGAAAGTCCAGTCCCAAACAGTTTGACTTTAACTGGATGTCAGGCAGTCAGTTGCGCATTTCTTTTAAAGGCTCTCCACGAGGGAAACACGTATCCGGACAAGATAGCAGATTTATTTAGCTTAATATGAATTGCTCTCTGAGTGGCACTTACAGTATAAGCCCACCAGTTTGTGTATAGCCCTTAGGAGGGCACATAAAAGGATCCAGCTCGAGATGAATTACTGAAGTCAAGTTGAATATCTGTTTATTTGGACCCTGCAATCATTCACCGGTGAACCTCCTTTTGAGTAAACACACAGTGGTGCATATAGAGACAAAGGAACTGTTGGGTTAGATTTTAGTCTGTTTTAATGTGGAAGGCCCTATAGGCAACATTTCAAACTGAATAAATCACATAGAGAGTATCACTCAATCTCACATTGTTTCATAACAATTTTTGTCAAGTGAAGATTGACATTTTTACAAGTGATCTCTCACAAAGATGCTTTTGTTTAAAGGAAGTCTTCACCACCAACAATCATTTGTATATCAATTACTCACCCTGTGTCACCTTGAATTACATACCCTCTAACAGTCTTATGATTGTGCATGTGTGCTACTCTTACCGTTTTTTGAATAGTAATGTTTACATTTTATAAAAATGTGTTTTTCTTTAGTTTTTCCTCAATAATTGAAGGAAATAGCGGTGAGTAATTTATATACAAATAGCCATTTTGTGGTAGGAGTATTCCTTTAAGGTTCATTAAGTTCACAGTAGTCTTTGTTGTTTTAGCCTTTGGTGGCCCACGGACACTGGGAGACTTATGTATTGTGGGGGCTGTGGGGGCATCAATAACAGCCCAGTGTTTGTGCGGATGTAGTTGTTTAAATAATTAGACAAGACAGGTCATTTTCATGTTTGTTATGAAATAGAAAAACATTGCTGCACAGGCAAGACTATTTGTACTTTCGTCATTCTCTCCAAACAACACCTCGAGCAGATGAGTGTACTTCACACATGCGTATGTCATGAGCCATCAGAACAATGATGATATGTTTAGTATTAATAGCTGTACATGATGCTCTACCATCTGCTGAGCCACATCGGTACTATGTTTCCACCTGCTGGTGAAGACAAAGAACTGTATCTTAGTTAAAATAAATTGGGTTGTTGGTGGTGATGTTAAAATATTAAGAAAAATGCTAACAGGAAACATGTGGCCCTATAAACAACAGGTAAGAAATAAAAAGAGTATAAGGAATTTTTCAAGGAGCTTGAAAGGACAAATTACGATTTAAAGGCCCAGTTTACCCCATGGATGATTAGGCTAATGTGAGGAAGAATTCATAATGCATCAAAATATAACATCATTTTCCAAATTGCGGGCTTTTAGTCGTCATGGAGCTGTTAGCTAATTGAGACAGATGAGTCATGTTAATTCAACAGCTCCAACAGCTGCCTGTTTAATGGACTTCTTAAGTGCTGAGCTTATAGCTGAAACTTTGTTTACAGCATCGCTTGGCCTGTTGTCATGCAGCCAAAAGCTAAAATGTTATGTTAAACTTATGTTGGAATTAACTTTTTCTGCTTTTTCATTGCTCACTATACCCACTACCACCTCTGCATTCACTCACACTCTCAACTGCATCACCCACATGTCCCCCCTTACCCACCCAGACTCGGACAGCCAGTGCAGCCCGACCCGCCACAGCCTCAGCCTATCAGACGGCTCCGAGGATCAGCTGGACCGCCTGCAGCAGGTGGAGCTGGCCCGCTCCTCGCCCATGTCCCAGTGGAGGGCAGGCACTGTGCAGGCCTGGTTGGAGGTTGTCATGGCGATGCCCATGTACATCCGCACCTGCTCAGAAAATGTCAAAAGTGGAAAGGTAAACTAGTGCCATGATGCAGGTGGACTCACTTTGCATTTTAAGTGCATTTTAATGCACAATTGCAAATGTGTAGGTGACAGAGCTGTCATATTAAAATATCCAGCTGGCATATGTTGATTTGTTGCAGTAAACTGAATAACTTTCTGCAGGTTTTACTTGGGCTAACAGATGAGGACCTGGAGCTGGGTTTGGCTGTCAGCAGTGTGATGCATCGCAGGAAACTACGCCTGGCCATCGAGGATTACAGAGATGCTGAGAACGGTAGAGGGTAAGGAAGAGAAACGGAGGATTTGTATAAACTTGTAGGTGATGTGTCAATAGGGCCATCTGTTGGTGATGTACAGTAACAACATTTAGAAAATGCAGTAGGGATTAAGAGGGATAACTCTCAGAAGTCATAATATTGATATTAAATAGAGATGTTAATCTTTAGAGATGAGGCTCCAATAAATGCAACCGTCTTGAACAAATGTTCTGAAAGTGTTGTTTCAGATCAATTATGGGAGGGGTCATTTAAACATTCAACTCTTTAATGTGTGAATGTGTCTTGGCGATCTGTCATTTATTGACAGTAATGTTAACTAACTAACTTAATTTGAATGTTAGCATTATTCTTATTTGTTTTAATTGATCTATTAATCTTGATAATAGATTCATTATTAAACTTTTGGCCACCATAATTCTCTAGTGACATTTCTATATTGTGAAAGTCTTACTCAAAAAAATGAAACACTTTGAAACGGGGAATTTGATTATGCACAATTTATATGGTTTTCAAAAATGCAGCTGATTCATTTTCTATTATAAGCCGTCCTCAAAGTAATAAAAACATCTTAGCCAAATTAGAGCAACCCATCCAAATGTTGCTACATTTCCCTCCTACCCAAACATTTCAGTCTCATAGTTTTCTGAGCTACTGTAAAGTCAGGGGTCTCCTAAGTCAGTAAGATTGACCCTCTGGGAACGATAAATGTCTGAAAGAAATGTCATGAAAATCCAGCCAATAGCAGTTGAGAAGTCCTAACCAAAGTGACGAAACACCCAACATACCATAAAGCCTTAAACAGGTACATCTTAATATCTTAATACCACAAATACCAGATTTCAGGAGCTGCTGACAATGGTTGCTCTGTGTATTCAGGCTGTCGAAGGCTGCAGATTTGGACCACCACTGGGTGGCCAAGGCCTGGTTAAGCGACATGGGCCTGCCTCAGTACTCTCAGGCCTTTCACAACCACCTGGTAGACGGACGCCTACTGAACTCGCTGACCCGTCGTGACCTCGAACGCCACCTCAACATCACTAAGAAGTTCCACCAGGTCAGCCTGCTGCTGGGCATCGAACTGCTGCAGTTACTCAATTTTGACAAGGAGGTAAGTAAGTAAGACTCTGCTCCGTGGTCAAAGGACGATGGAGACAGGGTATACTTTGGTTGGGTTTCAGTTAAGTAAAGTAAAAGGTGTTTGTTGAAATGGTTTCCAGGCACTGCAAGCTCGCCGGATACAGTGTGAGCACCAGAACGTGGATCCGTTGGTGTGGACGTCTCATAGGGTCATTAAATGGATCAAAGATATCGACCTGAAGGTGGGGACAGAGAGACAGACACTGCGAGTGTTAACTTTGTCATAAAATAAAGAGTTGAGACAGAATCTACACGTACACTGTAAAAAATGTAAGATTGAAGATAGTTTTTTTGAAAAACTAAATAATATATCCCAGTTTTACCAATACCCATCACACACTAGGAGGCGATACAAGCTATAGTAAATTATTTTCATTTCAAAACATTTTAATACAATCAGTCTTACTTCAATGTAAACAATAAATGATCCTTTCTTGTCTCACATTTCAAACAAAAGCTGAAGCTACAGCCTATGCAACAAGGCTAATCGTTTATTAAATATTAACAATAATTAGATACTAATGTTTTGAGCACCATGCCATGGTTCATTTATCAAAGTCTGTTGTGTTTACTCGGCGTTCCCTATCTGCAGTGATAGAGGCCTTTGTTATTGTATTTGTAAGCTGCTGATTGGTTACATAGCCTTTCCTGTTACTGCATCTATGGTGATGCTGAAATATGAATATCCAGAGTAAACACTGCCTACTGTCTTGGCAAACGATAACGTGTTTCCATTATGAGGCATGACACATTCAGGGTGTGTAGAGATAAAGCTGTGTGGAACATCCTGTTAATATCCTCAGGGAGTGTGACTTATAATGACCAAACAAATAAATCAATATGTTCTTTACCAAGGGGACAATTAAAAATCATTTGTGAGATACTTTTAAAGGTAGGGTAGGTAATTCACTTCAGAAACAATTTTTGTTATATTCCATGGAATGGTTAACATCCCGATAGCAATGAATAAATGAAATGCTTTGACAATAAATATATACAAATATTTCATCTGTGGAAGCCGTGGCGCTGTAAAAAGCAAGTCTACCTTGCTACCTTGGACTTGCTACCTTGGACTTGCTACCTTGTTACCTAATTGCTACCTAATTGCTACCTAACTGGATGGCCTACCTGCCTGTCAGCCATCCATCTCGTGCACAAACTTATCTCGTGCCCTCATTGGTCATGTGCGCGTTCGTGTGTGTTGGAGGAGGGGCTCTGTAAGAAGTCTGAAGGAAGGGGCAGATTTTTTTCGGTTGTGTATTTTCAAATTCTAGCGCACTCGAGCTGGTTTCTCCATTCTTACCTACCCTACCTTTAAATATGAGTGGCTTACCTTTACACAATAATGGAACATAATATCAGAGAATTTGATTATGAATACAAGTTATTTAATTCTGTCCGTTTTCCATCCACCTGTCTAGGAGTTTGCAGAGGGTCTTCTCAGCAGCGGAGTGCATGGCGCCGTCATGGTGCTCGACCCCACTTTTAACACCGACGCCATGGCAACAGCACTGGGGATCTCTAGCAACAAGCACATGGTTCGCAGACACCTTGTGGAGGAGATGCAATCGCTGATCGGCACGGCCAGGTGAGAGGTGACAAAGAGACTCCAAGACAAATCTGACTAGTCCAAATGACTTTGTTAATGAGCAAGTCAATAAGATCTAATTTAAATGAATTTAAACAACCATCTCTGATAATATATGCTATATTTGTCTGCAAATGTTGCACAAAAGCTTATTCTGTCACAATAACTACTTTTGTTGGACTATATATTGTCCTAGAAAAAATCACACTTGGTAATAAACACATCTTTACATATTTATTTGTGCATTTATTTTTGCTTTAACTTCTCTACATGTATGTCAATATAAATATAATATTCATATTTTATATAGTTGTAGGATTTCTGATTCTGATACTGTAAACAATACTATTGTCATTTTAATACCATTTAATGTCACCAATATAATCGTATAACAACATAATAATGCAAGTAGACACTTTCAAAGAGCAATCAACTTTTAATATTCAAATATGAACAAAAATGCTTAAGGCCCAATCCCAAACCACTCCCTCGACCCTACCCCTCCGTGACGGAGTGAACTCCGTCTGTAGCCACACTCGCAGCTCAATGAGGCTCCCTCCTGTCAGATGGAGGGAGTAAATACAGCGGCAAGCTTTAGGACAAACTCCCCTCTCTCCGGCAGAAACAGGAAATGCCGTAACTGTATGTAACAACGGTTTCAAATCATCATCTCTCAGACAAAAAATTTAAATTAATAACTCAAATAAAACTCCAAACATCTTTCATTGTGTTACTTTTTCTGTAAAGCTCTTTTAGTTTTAAACCTGATGTTTATAAGCTTCTTAGTTTTTGCAACAGTCTGTAAATATACACAACTTTATAATAAAATGCACACATTTACCTTTTTCTAGACTAAACACAGGTATGATCCTAAGTTAAAAAAATATGAGGTTATCATGAGGTTGTTAACATCGCAGTTTATCAGTGGATGTTTGCTGGAACTACTTTTTAACAGCGTGTTACCTGACGGACACACACAGCGTGACTCCGGTCAGGTAGAGACCGGTCTCAAGTCAGCACCGCTGCAGACTCGCTGTTTGAGGGCTTGATAGCCCACTCCCCCTCCACACCGCTCCACACTCGTTGGTTTGGAACAGCACTTAATGTGGCGGACCCTCCGCGCGAACGCGCAAACGGAGGGGTAGTGTGTAGGGGTAGGGTGTAGGGGGCGGTTTGGGATTGGGCCTAAGTCTTGGGTAGAGAAAGCTCTGTGGGTTATTCTGGTTTCTTGTTGGATAAATGTCGGTGACATTCTTACTTGAAAAAAAAAACATCCTTTTAAACGCAACAGGCAATACACAGGTCAGCGAAAATGATAGAGGTCATGTCCATGTACAGCATGGTACGATAAGTGCATACCTTAACTATTGTGTAAGATAAATGAAGCTGCGCTCAACACTCTGGTCTTTCCCATGTTCCCTTGCAGAGCAGAAATCAAGCAGGACTACGAGCATCTGGGCCTGGGAACCCCACCAGCTCTGCTCAGGCAGAACTCCCCGGGGAGACCGGCCAGCTCCACCGGCCGACACACTGATGACGAAGGCTCGCTGAGGAGGAGAGCTGTCAAGGTGTCGGGGGAGGGGGGTACTGTTCTTGAAACTTGCATTGGAGTTTTCTCTCACGATGACTTTCTGATATAAGAACACAATTTAGGGTTGTTCAGAGCAGAACAAATTGATCTTAGTGCTGATTTGGACCCGAGTCACACATTTTATCACTCAACTTGGCGTTGGTCAATGAAAAACGCATAGCTAAATTGAAAAATATGCGTGTCAAAAATGGTATCTTATTTTATAAAAAAGGTATTATGACTTGTTTATGGCTCAAAGTTTAGGACTCAGGACTTGTCAGACTTGACTTTGGAATTGCAAAGACCAACTTATGACTTGCAAAACAGTCACTTTTACAAAATACAAGATAAAATCTAAAATAAGACTGATGGAATGGAAATGTATGTTTTAATGACACTACACTACAGGTACAACGAAAGGCTTTATACATTTTGTTATACCTGTACAATGACAATAAAGGAATTCAAATGTTCAAATAATGTGTGTTTCTGTTTCAGCCTCCAACAGGCTTCAGCCCCAAAGCTCGCAATGGGCGGGACTTGAGTTGCCATAGCAGCTACGGCTCCCTGCCTCGGGAGGGCAGAGACCAGACCCCGCCCCGATCGGAGGGAAGCCCTCTCCACGGTTACACCAGCATCGAGGTCACCAATGTGTGAGGTCATCAGAGTGATACGAAACACCAGCCGTCAGATTTATCACATATCCATCAACATCATGAACATTTGTCATGTGCTCCTGGACATGGGATGGTTATTTTTTATAGAGATGAAAATATAAAGGAAAGATTGCACTTTTTTAATGGGACAGGAGTATTTTTCTCAAGTTTCCTGCTAAAGGAGAAAAAAACAAGGTCATTGTGGGCAGGTGGTATTATGATGTTTTTGAGGGGGGGGTATTTCCCTTCTCCAACACTCGAGTAAAAAAAAATGAAGTACTCAAGCTAAATGATTATTTTTCTATTTTCTTGTGTGTAAATGGTTCTCTGTGAATCAGGATGTGACTTATACATTGCTATTGTTGACTGTTTCTTCTGAGGGAAATGAGATCTAAAAAAAACAAGACTGTTTGTATGGATACTTGATGACAAAATGAAAAAAAGGTTTCATATCTATGTAAATTGTTCTTGTTTCATTCAATTCTGCTGTATGTGATGCCTTGTCAATGTAGCTAAAGACAGTGGCCAAAAAAAGCAATTTGAATTGAATTTTAGATTCTTGAATCTAGAGGTTTATGTTTGATATTCATTTTTCATCTTGCACATTAACACAGTTGTGTCTAAACCAATGTAGCACCCTCTTCTGATGTTTTATACTGTGCAGTAAACATGGGAAATATTTTAACAATGCCAGCAAAAGATGACTGCAGAGCTGTATGTCCATAGAGGCCTAAGGGCTGAAAGGTGTGAGGATGCAAACACTGTATGTGAAAAGTGAATCTGAATGAAATAAAGAACAAAAAAACAACAGCTGATGTTTAAAGACTGTCACAAAAAAGTTGATTTCTCTGACCTGTGTCTTATGAAGTGCATGATTAAGAGCAGCTCTGACAGTGTGTGAAAGAGGAAGTGATAGAAACACTGGACATTTTTTAATTAAGGACAGAAGCGGAGCCTGGGAATTTGACTGTAGAAATTCCTAGTTAGAAGAATTAAGGGGTAACTGTGAGGGAACTCATTTGCATGAGGAGTGTGTGCTTCACTGCCTCAACTGTGATGTAAAAGAGGGGTCCATACCAAACCCAGTGACTGCCTTTGTGAGTTTTGCTGACTCTGTACACTTGACTGATTTTGCGACTGTATTTCGGTGAGTCACTCGAGTAATCTCCTCTCTCTGCTGCCTGTTGGGCCTGTTACCACAAGTATCTATTTAGACCACCTCGCAATACAACATGGTGCAACTTCCTCCTCTTACTCACAGTGACTTGACTATTGTGACCTGCCAAGGATGACACAGCAGCAAGTGATACAGCTACCCTCTGCGCTACCTTGACGTAAAACCTCTCCACCCACGGTTGGGAAACATGATGACCATTTGTGGGTGTAGTTCTACCTGATTGATTTAAGCTACTTATTAGAGAAACAGTCAGAGGGAAACATACAATAACATGCTCATCATGTAGCAGAAATAAAACCCTTACATGTCAGAGTTATACATGGTTTTATTTGTAAGGAAAGGTACACTGCATAGCATATTGATTGAGGAATGTAATGCCACATATATTTATAGCCTAAGTATATTTGCTACCATGCGCCATGTTGAACCATGCAAATCAAGATTATCTACAGAGCATTTTCCCTTGTATCTGCCTACATATCTCGTAATTTGATAACAGGCTGACAGTGGCAGGACTTCCAGATGTAATCAAGGCTTGTTCACCATGATACTACATTGTCCTGACTCCTGTGTATGATTATGTGTGTGTGTGTATATGTGTGTATGTGTGGTACAACAGAGGAACCAGACATAAGCTTAAGAGGAAGAAAAACCTCCCCAGAGCCCAGAACAACAGAAGGAACAATAAGAGGCTGGGAATGGTTTTGTCATTATTGTGAAATAGTCCAGTCCTCATTATTCTAGCAGGCAGATACAGAGGAGGACACTGGGACAAACAACAGGGCCAAGTGTAGCCTAGTTTTACTGCCTTGGGTAACTCTCCTGCATTGTGTAAACTACATCAACACAAGAGCAAACACAGAGACGTCTGTATACGTGTAAATCACCAGCTGTATCAGCAGGGTGGGTCGCCCTTTGGACAGTTGGGTCCGTCCAAAGGGCTCAAAAGGAGTGACAGTGAGTAGGTGGTAGTACAATTATCGTTGCGTGAAGTATGATGTAGGCTACAACTCAGTGACTTGTCTGTGTTTACTGCACGGGGAAGTACTGAGCACACATTGAGTCAGTGGATTTCAGTCTTACTTGATTGTTGTTATTCGTGGTCATTGGTCAAAGATCATTTTGTGGACATAAAAAACGTCTTCACCATTTTGTGGTGAGATTTGACCCAAATAAGATGTGTGTCTGTTTAAAAGAACAACAAATAGAAAGTAGAGAGAAAATGACTGTTATATCAAATGTATTTAAAAAAAATACAGAATGAGTCATTCACTTTTAATCCGTCTAGTTGTATAGTTGTCACACTAACAAAAATATTCCACTCTGGGTATTTCAATTAGTAGGCTACATCACCAAGAATTCCCCTACGATGCCTCACCAAGGGGATTTCTCCTTCTTGCAGGAGCAGTGGTGGAGGAGGGGTAGACAAAACTTCAAAGGTCACATTCTGAACTGAATCATATAAAAGCATCATAATAATTGTGTGATAATCAATAAGCTATAAAATGATACAATAAGCAGTTTAATTTATTCCCTGAAAACACAGACCCATCGTTGATAATATTTTCTTGCTTTTTCCTGCTATGTCTAAATAAATGTCTGTTGTGACAAAGTCCTGTGGGGGTCTTGCATGGACAATGTGTGAGCATGCACATAATGTGTCTTATGTGCATTTAATTCGTGCAAAATTACATAGTAGCCTACTGTACAGGAAAGTCCTTGGGATATGTTTAGCGTTTTGTTCTTCTATCGTCCAAAGATGCTGTATGTTAAATCTTGAAGTGTATTTTCCCGGCTGTTTACAGAGCAGCACAAATAAAGGGACCGCTACAAGAGAGTTAAACTCGATGCAAAACATATGGCGTGTTTTAAGGTTAAAACTAGCTTATGTCTTGTCTTCGTCAGCAGACCAAGACTGAAGACAAAGAGGACTACAGCCAATGGGTTATTGATAAAATGTAAAAAAGGTTTCCTTTCTCTCCATCCATCGACAAGCCCGACAATGAAAGGGTTAAAGAAACTGGAAGTGCAGCAGTGAGCCCCCTCCTCCTCCTCCTCTTCCTCCTCCCTCTGTCTGCTGGGCCCATCCGTCACACAAGGAAAGTTTCTGACCCTTAACGTTTATTTGTGACCAAATTATTTCACGCACACTCATCATTGTCTGGAGATTTTGGAAATAAACGCCACACCTCCCTGCTTCGAGGAAGAACACATCTGTAGCTTATCGTCAAAACGATGCCAAGGTGAGTGTAAAGCCGGTTTACCCCTTCGCTGCATTGACCACTTTTTGTGTGGTTTAAGTGTTACTAAAAGTTCAATATAATCAAAGTTTTTAAGGTTCTGGAAAGTTTTTGTCGCGCTGCTTTACGTACCCTGCTGTGGTCAACGTAAGCAACCCGCCCAGTGTGTTAACCCATAAGACACTGCGCGCTATGTGTTAGCAAAACAACGGTTAAAAACGTTTCTTATGATAATTTAATGCTACCTGACATGTTGACATTCACATATCATTGCTTTTTAGTTTATTAAGCGTAACATGTGACCCAGGTTATACTGTTTAAGAGTGAAAAGAGATAAACAGATGATGATGGTTGCAGTTGCAGAACTATTTCCGACTTGAAATCCCACTTTAGCTACATGTTGTACAGGGGGCTTTGTGGGAGGAAATAAGATGTTTAATAGCGGGAAAGTCAATGTGTTACTAACTTCACTGTTAAACCTGTCAACTGGTGAAATATAACCTTTAGTGTGCAGTGTTACACGCCTCACACAGGTCAATAATATGTGATAACTTCACGTAAATGTTCCTCAGGATTTCTCAACAGGCTGCTGAGGGATGTTCAGTGTATGTGTGTCCACCAGGCAGCTGCCATGATACGCATAATCCAGTCCCATGCCATGCATTCCTCACTGAGGGTATTCCTAAATTGGAGCTGGTGTTAACTTTCTTCAGGCTTTTCCCCTCACTCCCAGCAGGTCTGGGCATGTTTGCAGTGTACAAACTGACATACCTTGAGGGTGGATTCAGGGACAAATGAGTGGTCATATTGAATTATCACATGGTTTCTTTTATAGATTGTTTTTCCTTGTACTTCTTATCTGACCTATGTTTACAGCTCCCAGCAGTCTTCATCTATTCTCTGATCTTGCAAAGATACAATAGTTACACTGCAGGGTAGCCCGGTGATAAATGGCCTGTATGTGTTCCAAGTATGCAGTGGATGTGCAAGTATGCTGAAGTCATGCTCTCTGCATTACTGAGAATCATTTTACTGTGTGCAACACTCACATTTAGGTCCACAACTAACAAGGTTATCATATTATCCATAATAGATCATTCTGTTTACTTTTTATTAAATAATAAACAGACAAATGTCCATCCCATTTTAAAATGTCTCTTATGGCTGTCTTTAATATATCAAATATATTCAGTTTCAGCCAGTTATTCATGAAAAAGATTTATTATCAAAGTAGATGCCGATTATTCAACTGGTACACTGATAGTCGCAATTCTAGGTAAATTAATGTTAAACTAATAATGTTTCCCTTAATGTTTGGCTTTGGATTGACATGAAAGCACATACTGCTATGAACATTAGATTTAAAGGATGGAAAAAGAAAGTACCCTTATTGTTTTATTTTACAGTGGCCATACAGTAGCAGCCCTCACCCTTGTAATGTGTGGACATTGGGTAACGAGTGACTTTGAAAGGCAAGTCGTCTGTCAATTGTTTACCATGCAGCACACCTATTCACAGAAAACCTTTTACTAAGGTAATTTTACTTCAGGGAAATTAATGTTCCGTCATTTTTCCAGTAAAAGCGGTTGGTTCTCATAAAGAACGAATATCTTGGCGGCAGCAACATGATCTGTTCTTCATTATACCTGGGCTGAAGAGAGTCATACGGTATACCCCTGTTGCTGTTACATTCTGTGGTATGTTTCTAAGTTTGTGTTGACCTCACATTTACTTCTCTCTACAGCTTTTGACCTCCCTGCAGCTGGTCTGACTGAAAGTTTGGGACTGACAAGATGCGTTCCAGTGTGGATGTTCCACCAAGCGCCGTTGGAAGAGGAGTTGCTGGCAGCAACAACAACAACAACAATAACAACAGCAGCAGCAGTGAAAACACTGGAAACTCAGGTTCCCAGTATGCACTCTGTGCTCTGGGCGTTGGGCTTGTTGCCCTGGGCATTGTGATGATTGTTTGGAGCGTGGTACCTGCAGACGCGGCTGGAAACAACAACAACAGCAGCAGCAGCGGTTCAGGAGAGGACAGTGGTACGAGCGGGAGGAAACATAAAGCGTCCTCCGTGGCCTTCGTGTTGGTGGGCTCCGGGGTGGTCATGCTGCTGCTGTCCCTGTGTCTGGGGATGAGGAACAAACAGCAGGAGCAGCTCATGCTGCAGGAGGCTCAGAGCCACAGAGTGGCCGCTCGGGAGCAGGTGGAGAGAGAAACGTGAGTCCAGTCATCGATTTCTACTTAAACAACAGTTTTTTATGCCAACTGCAAATCCTGTGCACGTGAGAACATTTTGCTAGTGGATTTGTTTATTTATTTTAAATATTATTTTGTTTGGTCAAAACTATTATTAAAGGTGGGGTAGGTAAGTTTGAGAAACCGGCTCGAGATACACTTTTTGTTATATTCCATGGAATGCTCTTAACATCCCGATAGCAATGAATATCTTAAATGCTTTGACAAAAAATCCATAAAAAAATGTCATCTGTGGAAGCCGTAGTACTGTAAAAAGCACGACCAATCATTTTAGCCGGCCCGGCTAAAATAACTGGATGGCCTACCTGCCTGTCAGCCTTCCATCTGTGCACAAACTTATCTCGTGCCCTCATTGGTCATGTGCGCGTTCGTGTGTGTTGGAGGAGGGGCTCTGTAAGGAAGTGGCAGATTTGTTCCGGTTGTGTATTTTCAAATTCTAGCGATCTCGAGCCGGTTTCTCCAAAATTACCTACCCTACCTTTAACAGATTATTTTACAAGCGTCAATGATCTGTAACATTTTACTTTACTTTAAGAGCATTATTCAAATGAGTGATTGTATCCATAATCCATGATATTGATAACAAGGTCTAGTATATTTTTTATCAAATCACAAAGCACATATTCCTCTTTGAGGTTCTGAGACTTAAAATGTAGCTGTCGAACAGCAGCCTTTTTAATTCAAAGCATGTATGCATAAGTCTTGACTATTTCTCCTAGCTAGCACATCATTGATATTAATTAGAAAAGTGTTTTGTGGTTAACCCTAAACCTTACCCCAGAGATATACTTTTGTTATATTTTACACAAGTTTATTTTTGCTTGCGAAATGCTAATTATTTGCGATTGACCTAATATCATTGCATTTTCAAATTGTTTAAATAAGTGCTTTTAAAAAAAATACCCAACGCTATACCTTGTATTGGTGTTCCAATTCCACCTATGCAGTTTAACAATTATTTATTGAATTCATTTTTGCTATGATAATGAAATGAAAAATAATACGATTTTTTCAGATTACATTAATTACATAAATAATAACACTTTTAGAAGAAATAAGTTAACATTTTGCTGTGATGGTTGTTCCTTACAGTCGGTAGTGTTTTAATATTAAAATGTATGTATATTGAGAATGAGTGTTGAAGGCATTAAATTCACTTAAAATATGTATTAATAATTATTCCCCTTCTCATTTTTAAGATCAAGTACAGGACATAACATAGTTCACAGTTTTTCATGCGTGTCATTCATGTCTCTATGTCTCTATAAATGTGTGCAGTGCCGAGGAGCAGGCCGAGCGTTACGCTGTCCCCAGCTACGAGGAGGTGGTGGGCAGCGGCCAGTACCCTGTCAGTCAGAGCAACCTCCGCCCGAGCCCCTCCCAACTACCGTCCTACGATGACCTCGTCCAAGTTGACGGGGTACAGTATGAATTTGAGGGGTCGGAGGTCACAACTCCCGGATCGCAGCCGGCTCCGCCCGCTGCAGCTTCCACATCAAATCGCAAAGCTGGGAAAAATAACCGCAAGCTCCTCCCGATCAAGATCCGCAGGATTAAATCTGAGAAGCTGCAAATGAAGAACGTTGATAACTCTCAGCCAGCAGCTGGGTTCAGTATAGAACCGCTGACCCCTCCGCCGCAGTATGAGGATAAAGTGCCTCCCATTTAATATCAAGCTGATCGTGTTTAAAACAATCTACTGACATTCCTGGAATCCTCCATGATTTCCTTTCATGGAACTGGATCTGCCTTTTTAAAAGACTTGAAGAGGGCTCTTCCTGCAGAACATTCAGAGTGAAACATTTTTATAAAACACTGTTTTTGTTCTAACTCATCACTGCGTGTCACATCACTCCAAAGCACAGAACAGAGAACCCTTTATACTTTTCTAACGTTGGATCTCTGAAACACACAGACAGTAAAACACAAACTTGCTGGAACCTTCCTCAGTGTGACAGATTCTTTCAAACTGTGGCACGTTGGACTAAAAGCACACACCAAATGCAGTTTTCCTTTTAAGTCGTTTTCTGATGATGCATCGTCTTTGGGTGATCCAAAGTGCGCTGACTGTAGAGGTGAGTGGACGGGGAAAGAGATCATAGGACATTGTGGAGCGGTTGGCTTTGGATTACTACCAGCGGTTTACCAAATGAACGCTTCATGGTGACATTGTAATATGTGCTCAGCTGGCTTGACATGATGTGGTATGCCTCACTAAAGAAATATATTCTCTCCTTGTCCTCTAGAGCTTTGCAGAAAATGAGAGAATTTTTGGCACTAGCTTCAGGTTTTCTTTGTCCCTCTCATTTAAAAGCTGAAACATGAAACTAGGGTTTACATATTCAATGATGGGGAATCGACAGGACAGCGTTATTTAAGAAACTACTAAGACAAAGCTTTGTTAGCATCTATCTGCTCCCATGACTCTTATCCACAGGCCCTCTACCAGAGCCTGAGGAAATGTAGTTGTTGAACGCTAACAGAATATCCCTTGTCATGATTAGAATATAAAAGCACTTAAATGTTACTGAATATCAGCACATTTAAGAGAAAACCTAGGTTTTATACTTCTCCCTAGAAAGACTAAACCCTGTGCTGTACATGGGCTGGAGGCTAGTTTGAAAACGGTGTGGAACTTAAGCTGCTGTCTCTAAGGTTGTGGGTGTTTTCTTTACTAAGCAGTTCCAAAATCAGGTGTCATTTGTCTCATCATGTATGCATCATGAAATAGTATTTTTACTTAAAGCTGTAGTAAGGACTTTGACCTTTTTGAATGCACAAAGATGCCTAAACAAACCCAACATCAGCTCATCTTTTTTCTATTATTTCATTGCTAACAAGCTAGTACAATTCTGCCTAACTATAGAACATATTATCATGCTATTGGAGACATGTTTCCAACTAAGTGAGCAGTGAAAGTCTAGATTTAAGTTGATTTCTAACCGTCCTGAGAAACATAGATTGGACTTTAGCTTGCTAAACTCTCCTTACAATCAACTAATTTAGTTTGGTTCTCTTCCATATTTCTCATGAGACTCAGCCATAAGTCTAGCTAAACAATGAGCTTCAGAGTTTGTGAGTGTCCAAACAAACAGACATTAGGAAATGTAAACTACGGTTAGTGAGATACTAGGAGGGGACTGTGATTAATTTATTGGCTGAATTATTATATTTACACTTGCATAAAGCAGCTCATAGCTTCCTTTTTCAAAGAGAAATTACATTCTGGGATGTAGACGGTCTCATTCCATGAAGTCTTTTAAGGAGTGCCTCTGCTAACCCCCTGCAGGAGTTTGCCCTCCAGTTTCACACCCTGAAGTGAAGTGTGTTCATAACAACTCTGCTGCTTCTCCAAAAACATTTTGAAAAGGCATTGTATGACTGAACCTGAGCTCTAATGCTGCTCCTCCAATGCAGTGTTTAAAAAGAGAAGGAAGGAGGTGAGAGCATAATGGAAGGAGCCGTTGAATAGTTGAAAGCCCTGTAGCCATGGCGAACACTGTGGTGCTGTGAAGGCAGTAGTGTAGTCTCTGCTTCTCTCCCCGCTTTCTTTTTCGTACTCAAAAAAGAAAAGAAAAACTCTTTGACTGTGCAGCTGCAACATAACAGCAGCAGCCATTGCTCTCTCGCTTGCTCATCCCCATTCCTCCAACCACAGTGTGAATGAATTCACTCAGAAGTATGCAGAGAATGAGCAGAACAGAAAAGACAAACCGTCCAGGGAAGTGGCCTGAGATCCAAAACCGTGCACTATTTCATTATTACCTGTCAACCTACGATTTGAGTTTAAATGTTATGAAGTTGTATCACTAAACATTGTTTCCTCTTTTGTTTTGTGATATATATATAAGCCCCATTTCATTAGTGACTTTATCACCTACATCTACACTGTGTGTGTTTGAGTCAAACTCAGTGTAGTTAATGCAGAAAAGCTCCTCAATCATTTCCAGCTGGTCGTATTATATATTGCCAAGTCAGTGAGAAAAGCCTTTCAATGCCTACATTCATCAGGCCCATATTCTTTTGTCATGTTCAGTACTGCCGACATATTCATCGTACCTCGTTTTGTAAAAGACCATTTCATTACATGATTGATTTTATATGACCGTGTAGTCAAAATGTTTAACATTGATGAAATCATTTCGAAGTCACTTTCTGTTTTACATAGACGAGTGTCCCCAACACATGCTGTCAGTTCATTTATCATTGCTTTTTTACTACTTCAATCTTTCTTTTATATGTACTGTGAAAATGTGCTTTTCTATGCTCATTCTATATTTGTTTGTGGAAAATAAGAGTTTTTCTCTGAAGAGTTAAACAAATGTATCTCATGAATATTGAATGAGAAATAAAAGGAAGTATTTGTTAATTAATCGATGTGTTTAAGAAGCGTATTTTGCCGTGGTTACTCAACAGTTGACTTGTTACCATAATCCTCTGAACATTTAGCCACCATTTCTTACTTGCTTACTGTTCATCAATGCTTAGTTAATATGCAGCTACTGTGCTGTAAGCTTAGAACCGTCTGAATGCTTTCAAGTTGTCAAGGCCCTGCATGGCAATGTTAAAAAAAAAAGAAGGTTTTAGGTGTCCAGGACATAGCCAGTACTTCAGCATTCCATTAACAAACAGGCTCTTTTGCATTCCTTTGCACTGAAGAAAAGCACATTTTATTTTATTTTATTTGCCAGTAGGAAAATGAGAAATCACGGTTGTTCTTACTGCTGACGGAAGCACTGGAATAGCTCCTTCAGTTGTTGGTCATAGCCTGCAGAGTAAACAACATAAAACACAATTATAATACACTTCCTGTTCTTGAAATCCGAGGCTTTTGTTCGCTTCAGGTGACATTGTTTATGCTGGCAAGTAATCACAAAATGAAAGTGTTCCTCACTGTGTTGATCCAGTCGATGTAGGAGCTGACTTTAGTGAAGACTGTCGGCTTCTGGAGAACGTTGCAGCCCTGACCGGAGCCAAAGCTCACGGCGCCGTGGACGACCCAGGAGCCATCGGGGTTCTGACAGTTCAGAGGCCCACCAGAGTCCCCCTGCAGGTCAGCACACACACTGTTGGACAGCAGCTCATGTACAGACATTAAGAAGGTACGACTACCAGTGCTCACTTTAGTCATGCTGAACTGTTATTTTACACTCTTTCAAAGTAAAAGTATTTTCCTTTAATCTTCCTTTCATTGAGTCTTTGAAACTGTACTAAATGGACACTTTAAAGATTACATAACTCATTGCTTTAATCGACCAAGAAACTGCTCTGGAACGGTTGACCAATCTTCAAAATGAGAGTAAATGGAAAATATTGCCTCTAGTGTTGTAATGTTAGATTCACCCAGTTAAAATTGAGGTGCTGCCAACTTGTTTTGACTGTAAAGGAAAAGGGTTTGTTATTCAACTCTGGGAGCAATGGTTCCAAAAGTGTCTTGGGCATTGTTGAAGAGGAACATATGAGAGAATGGTGCAATCACTGTCTGCTATAACAGCCAGTTCATCACTGTCCTGGAAAATAATCTCTAGAAAACAGTAGTAACCCTGTTTAATCTTCAACTTCCCTGAGTGAACTCACATTACAGCCAGCGGTGACGCCGTCCCCCCCGGCACAGACCATCTTGTCCGTTGCCAGGACGCTCCACCAGTCGGGCAGTGAGCAGGTCTCCTGTCCGACCACAGGGAGCAGAGCCTGCTGCAGGAGGTCAGCTGCAGGGCCGCTGGCTGTGGGCACAAACAGGCTTAACTCAGGTAGGAAATGAGATTTAGCTCTAAAGGGAGGTTTGCTCAGGGGACAGGTGGAGTGCTGCTGGGAGATAATGTGTTGCTGTTACTGATAGTGTCAAAGGGAGAGTAAGATGATAGCATTAGTTTTGGTATTAAATGAAATCCCGTGCTAAACTGGATTATGCTCTAGTTGTGTATAGTTGTGTAACTTTACAGCTTTAATACAAACAAACTGTCCCCTGAGTGGAAACTTCTAACTAAATGTTTACACTCTTCCAATGGGGAAAGACAGAGTGTCCATGTCCTTAACTGTAGAAAAATACTAGAAGCTTATGAGCATCACACATGTCTTCTTGTTGAATGATAAAAAGAGCATGCTTTTCTATCGTATGACAAAATGTCAAATGCAGTAAGCAGAGCATTTTAATGTAAAACTAAATCCAATAAAATGCATGGGTTGTGTTTATTATTTTTGTCTTGTTGGAACACATCAAGCCTACTTGCTTGAACTGGGAGTGTTCCCACTTTTCAAAACAAGAGTTGTGGTTAAAGTCAAAACATAATCATGCTGTTATTTAAATACGATCTTGGTTAAATTGGTTGCTCTATTCTATAATGTATTCATGGCCAATTGTTGACTCGGATACATTTTTAACATGATTTATCTCATAGTGATATAACTTGTGTGATAGTATTACAGTAAATGGACAATTTCCCTTATTTAAGCATTGTTTCTACTTATTGCTCATTTCTGGTATTTTCTTCTTGTAAAAATATTTGTTTATATTTTACACACCATTTAATTAAAAAAGCTGATCATCTTTTGAATTGGTAGTAATTTAAATGAATCCCTACACGAGGTATGGTTAGGACTGAGATTTCTTAGCAGGCTGATGGATATAAGTTCAATCATTTTGACAAATGAATTGCTGTGAAATGTCTTTGGCTTTGACATCAGTAATTTGACCTACATGTGCATAAACCCTGACTCAACACCTCTAGCAGACTTTCAATAAGTCCAGTGAGGACATTTGCAATGCAGTCGCAGATTGATTCTGCAGAGGTGCTTCGACTCACTGGAGAGTCGACCCCAGCCGCTGACGTAGCAGGGAGCGCCGTAGGGCAGGACCACGCCCCGGGCCGGGAGGCAGGCGGGCATGACGGTGTCAGAGAAGGTGACGGGGGAAGACAGCTTGATAAGGGCGATGTCGTTACTGCAAAAGGCAAACAACACACCTACAGTGAAGAAGTAATGACAACAAATCAATGGTTTGCTGAGTCAACAGTGAACTGATACTCTGCTAAAACATGGCGTCCTGCTGATGCTGCTCTTCACCAGGACTCCTGAGGTGTTATTGAGCTGTTGAGTGTGTGTTACCGGCTGAGCATGGTGTTGTAGTCGTCGTGACTGATAATTGTGGCTGCCCTCCTCGCTATCGAGCCCTCCTCGCTGGTCTTCAGGCTGTGTTTACCCAGCTCCACTCTGTAGTTGTAGCGGTCACTGTGGGATGGCAGATGACACGCGGTTCAGACAGTAGTATTGACTTTCCCGCCTGTGTGGACAACACTGTGATTAAGCCCATGGTGTACTGCAAATGTTTGGTAGTCCTGTAGAGGTAATGCGTGCAGACCAAGCTGTTTTTAACAGATTTTAAAACGGTAATGTTACAGTAGGCTATAGTTATCCTACTTTTTTATTAAGATTCTGATTTTAAAAAGGAAGGAACAACTTCTTAAATCTCTAAATACCATTCTCTTCCAGGCATGGTGGCCCTGTTGTTTACTGAAATACCATGCTTTTCTGTTCATTCCCAAACCCAACATCTCTCACATTACCAAAAAAAGCAAAACTCATAATCCCCTGTAGGGCAGAGGAGTATTTCCTGGCACAGATCTTTGGTTAGGTATAATAAATATAAATGCTATTCTTGAACTGGGCATGTAAAAACATTTAGAGTTTAGTTGATTATGATTAGTAGGGACTGTTCTTGATTGTATAAAACTTCCACAGGTTATCAATTCAACAACTTAGAATACTTTGCATACAAAAATATCCTTTGTAGGCTATATCAATTACACACCCTTTGTTACTCCAATTCTTGAGGAATATGTGTTATTTGTGAATGCCGAAGAATTTAAAAACAGAAAATGAATTAAAGTAAATGGGGGCTGTGTTCAACTGTAAAACTATATCCAAACATCTCACACAACACGTGCAATACAGCACCAGAGGCCAGGCCCTCCCATTTGACATTCCTGCCCTCCCCCAATAAACACGTTTTATTTTATTTATAAAAATTAAGAAAATATATATATCTTTTTTTTTTATTATATATAAACTGTGAACTTTAAGGTTACGATGTATGTGATGTCAGATGGTAATATAAGAGTAATAAATGAAAAACAGGTATGAAATACTATATGACAGTAAAACAAGAATAGAGTTTCAAAGGGGAGTGATTAGTAAAATATCCATAAAGAAAAAGTAAATCTGTTCACAGTTCTGTTTCATATGGGTGTTGAGAGAGGTATCCATAGATCTCTTCATTTTGCTCTCAAAGTGCACCAGATTGATGCTTTTAACTTCAATATAAAAAATATATATTTTCCCTGGGGATCATGCCCCCGGACCCCCTCTAGAGGAGGTCAGGTCCACTCCCCACTTATAAAAATAGCACATGACCCCTGCTTACACCTATATGCCATGAGCTGATTATCGAGCCTTCATTGTAACAGTCGCGGGTGCACTGTGTGTGTGCGTGTGGGGAGTGTTGCAGTAGAACATTCCACTGTAGCCCCCGGTACATTAATGAGAAACCCTACATGTTTGAGCAGCCTCTATGAAACATCAAGCTACCCCACAGCACCCCCAAAAGAAAATCTCTGGCGCCGATACTGGCCGCGACACATGACATTATTTGTCAGGTGTATGCTTAATACTTCTAAACCCCACGTTACTATTTTAAACACTTTTGCATTTCTCCCACTGTGCAGGCCCATTCATCCCTGTGAGTCTGGGACCAGTCCGGAAGTTTCTAACTGTTGATGTTTAGCAAAAATGCATGTGTTTAGAACGTTTTAAGACTTGGATAAGTGTGCACAAGTTGTATACAAATTTGTAAGTAGATGTTTTGAAATAGTTTTGCTGTTGTTGAACACAGCTCCCATTTTCTTCCATTCATCAAGACTTTGCTGTATGTTTGGATTTTTGGTTTACAGGGGAGGCAGGCGAGAAACAAACATCCCTTTCTTCTAGGATACTAACTAACATGTGGTGGGTTATTTTACAAATGGTCCCTTTGTGAGGAAAATATTCCTTTTCCTTTTTTTTTCGTGGTTTTTCAAGCCTTTAATCAATATCATGCTGTATTTTAACTGTGATTATTCACAACCTTTCCTTCAGGGTGCAGTTTGACATACTTGATGCAGTGAGCAGCAGTGAGGACCCAGTCAGAAGAGATGAGGGTCCCTCCACAGACGTGCCTCCAGCGCCCACTGCCGTCCGACTGAAGAGAGATCTGAGCACAGCAGAGAGAGTGTGCATTAATACAAGCATAATGACTCTTCAACAAGCTACACATTCATTTAATCTCTCCACCCTCTATGTCTTCTCTGGAGGAGAACTTATTATTAGGAATTCAGCAGAACAAAAAAAAGATTCATAGTGTAAATTTGTAAATATGGTGTCACTTTTGTATCTATAGTGGCAATAATGTAGTGTTTTCTGTGTTCTGTAGTTGTCAGAGTGAACGTTTTTTCAATATTTATTCCGTTCTCTACCTGCCAGGGCCAGCTGTGAGGCCTGACGTCCTCTCCTGCCACCACCCTGCTCAGCACAGGGGGGAAGGTGGGGAGGCCACATCCGTAGGCTGGGACAAGGTGAGGAAGGTTTATTGTGATTCTCGCACCAGGCTAAATATGTCGAGTAGGTGATTATACATTTTGGATTAATTATAGTCGAGAATTTACTTCAGTTAAGGTTTGGTGATTCTTAAACAATTCACATTTTTCTAATCATTAATATTTAAACTCTATTCCACATTTGATATAAAAGAAAAGGCACATGTCTACTCTGTTCTCTGCATTTTACATTATGTCCCTTTTGAAACATTACATAATGATAAGGGACTATTCACTTAGATTCTGCTACAGAAAATGATTAATTTATCTTAGAGAATTAAAACTGTCTTACCGCTAGCTACCAAAAAAGCGAAGACCACCAGTCTCCTCATGACTGTAGGGTGTGTGTGTGGGCTTAAACCTTGTGTTAAGAACAGGCGTGCATTTATACTGAATGTTAGCAACTTTTGGATAACCTGGCTGTCACATGCAGAAAGTCAAACAAGTCTGAGAACACAGCATGTGGTTACCGAATGGATTTTCCCAGCACTAGCCTTGTTTGGAAACATTGGATGCTTTTTATATACTGTATGTCAAAATAAAAGTACATTTAGATCCAGGCAAAAACTGTACAAAACATAAAAGAAGACACTATGTTTGATTTATAGTTCCATATTTTATTTTTATTTTACATGAGCACAATGGCTCTGATGCCAAAAGCTTGTCCTCTCAATAGGCCACCATTTTCTGTGGAAGAAATGATAGATGTGTTAGATTTAGTGCAGAGTGATGTTGTAAGCAAAAACACATACAGTAGGATTATTAAATTGATCCAGATTATTTCTAATATGTATACAAAATATATTATAGCACATACGAGAGTATATGATATTCACTGACAGTAAAATAAAAACAGATAATCTTGAAAAAAAATTAAGCAAAAGTTAATAATAGTACAAATATATAATAGTAAATACAAACAATTGTTTAAAGAAACTTCATGACATTTTTTTTTGCTTTAGTGGGAGTGTCGGAGCTTACAGAGCTGATCCAGTCGATGTAGGAGCTGACTCGGGTGAACACGGTGGGCTTCTTTGGGAAATTGCAGCTGAGCCCGGATCCGAAGCTGACGATGCCCTGGACCTCCCAGGCTCCATCAGTCCTCCGGCAGTTCAGAGGGCCGCCAGAGTCCCCCTGAGTCATGTGAGAGGAAACATATGATGCAAACTCCACAATTAACACTGACGTCTTGTCCTAGAAAGACACTCAGTGACTGTTCTTGGTGTTTACATCTAACGTTACTGATGATAACTTACAGACATTTCTATTCATATAATCTTAGACAGTTTAACTGAATCACTTTATCTGAAATACTGGATGTTGTTGACACAAAATAAACATTTGAGGAGAAATAGTTTTAAGAGTTTTGGATAAATAGAATACAGTATCATAGGAAGAATCTCAGATAAAGGACTCAAATTTAAAAAAGTAAGGGTACCGACTGTTACCCCATGTACTGTATGTGTTACAGCTATTAATCATCTGTGGATTTTCTAGATTAAACAATTAAATGTCCATGATTTGGCAGAAAAAGCCAAAAATTATTTCCTGACACTGTCAAATCCAAGTTGATACATTTGAAAAGCTTTTCAATAGTTGAGTTTGACCAACAGTCACCAAAACACATTTGAATTATCATTTAAAAAATACAGCATTTACAGATTAAAGACACATCAGTGTCCATCTTACTGATGCTGGAATGGTGCTTTAATACAATGTGTCATATTGTGTTGTTTTACACTCACGTTGCAGCCAGACACAACTCCATCTCCACCGGCACACACCATGGTCTCCTTCACCATAGCCCCCCACCAGTCAGACTTGGTGCAGGTGGCGTGGTCCACCACGGGCAGGAGGGCCTGCTGCAGGATGTCAGCGATGGGACCCCCGGCTGTGAGGGGCAGAGGTGCTCAATACCTCAACTTCAGCTCAGGTAAAACACTGGTGAGAAACTTTGGGCAAACAAATAATTTCTCTACACCGTGGATAAAAATAAATATATATACTACAAACACCAGATATTTGTCTTATCAATATATATTTTCTTATCATTCAACATTACTTTTGTAGTGTCCGAAAAATGTAGGCTTAAATACTAAGATGTACACTAACCTTTGTACACTAAACAAGCTGTTGGTATAATAAATAGTAGGATTTATTTGATTATATTTATTGTTATACTAAGTGTTTCCTGCCTAATAATTATAAATTAATGCTATATCGTCCTCATACATTTTACACTAACCTTAATTCCTACAACCTGTTCATCCAGTGATATTTCAAGTGATCAATTAAATACAAATTGTAATATATTTTGTCTCAAAGAAAGGCAGGAGATGGGCACTAACTGTAGACGCGACCCCATCCAGTGACGTAGCAGGGCTCGTCATGGGGGAGGGTGAAGCCAGCAGCAGGCAGGCAGGCAGCCATGATGCTGTCAGAGGAGGACACAGGGGACTCCAGCTTGATCAGGGCGATGTCGTTACTGGGGAGGAGACATAAGTTAGGATTCGTTCTTACTGTACATACATTCTCAAATAAGTGTCACAACTCATAGCCACAACCTAAATGAAATGTTATTTATTTACCGGATGAACAAGGGGTTCCACTTCTCATGCACAACAATGTTAGAGGTGCCCATGAACACAGCGCTCTGCTCTGTCTCTATCAGGTTGTGTTTTCCCATGGCCACTCTGTACTCCCTGCCACTGCTGCAAGTTGACAGAGAGAAGAATATGAAGCAGGGATGAATAGGCTTTGAGATCATCTTAAAGAATTACATATTCTAATGATTTTCTTTAGTAAATGTAAAACACAATCATTAGGCAAACAGGAAACAGGGATTGTATATGGAAACAAGCATTTTAATCTACTGTGAAGTGAAAAAAAAAAAATCATTCACCCATCAGCTAGCAATCTGCTCAATTAGTATCCTATATAACTAAATGCTGTTCTAAATGTAGTCGCTAGATTTTAAGAATTTCTTAAATAAAGTGAAACTGTATTGAAAACGTATTTAATAACTTGAATGCATGAAGAGTTTTGGTCTCCACTGTTACATACCTGATGCAGTGAGCAGCAGTGAGGACCCACTGGTCTGAGATCAGAGTGCCTCCACAGGTGTGCCTCCACTCGCCCTGTCTGTTGTACTGCAGGGAAATCTAAAACACACATATGAACATCATATCATCAGCTTTCTTTACGTTTTCTTTGAAGGTAATACTCCATTAAATGCACACTGACTTTATTATTTATACTTTAATTTATTTTGACTGAACATTTCCTGACTGTAATTCTGGTTGAATTATTTATCCATCTTTTTGTTTTTGTATTCCTTTTTTCAAACACATTTCCCTTTTTGTTGTCTTTTAAACATTACTTTCGTGCATTTCTTCTCTTTATGGACAACACTGCGAATTGGCAGTGTCTTTAAATGATGCTACACAAATTGCCTTGCCTCTTTCAAAATTCGACAATTCTTAACACATACTGTATATCTTAACTATAAACCGTTAATTTACTTAGCTCTTATCAAGTCAATAGTCTAAAATAAGTATATTTCAGACAGCTGTCTTTTCTGAGCATGTTGTACCTGCCAGGGCCAGCTGTTAGGCCTGACATCCTCTCCCCCAACCACCCTGCTCACCACAGGGGTGATGGTGGGCTGGCCGCACCCGTAGGCTGAAACAGACACATAAACTCTCTTAAAACCAAACTGTTAATCTGCATTGCGTTTAAAGAGAACACTGCAAACTGTATGTCAGACAGATGGCTGTAACAATGCTGTGTGTGAAAGATTCTTACCACCAGCAACAAAGAGAGCAAGCACCACAAACTTCATCATGTCTGAATATGCAGTTTGCCTTTTAATATGTGACATATTTATACATTTCATGGTGTTATGCAACTCACAAAACTGGATCAAATTCCTGGAAAATGTCCCAGGGGGACTTTGAGATAGAGTGGTCGTCTGCCAAGGTTGCTTGGTGGTTCGATTCCCAGCCCCTATAGTCAACATGTCGATGTTTACTTGGGCAAGATACTTAACCCCAAATGGCTCACGATGGCATGGCCAACGGTGTGTGTGAATGTTAGCTTTTCTGAGCAGGTGGCACTTTGTATGGCAGCTTCTGCCTCTCTGTTAATGTGTAAGAATGGGTGATGCTGCCTCGTACATTTAAAAGCACCTTGAGGGGCCGTAAAGACTGGAAATATAGTCCATTTACCATTCAACATTACCTTTCGATACTGGGGAGGAGAGAACAGCACCAACAACAAAACAGCAAGAAATTACCAGAATTACTAGGCCAAGGCCGAACCGTCCTGAAGTTATGTTTAATTTTAGGTTTGTTGAACAAGTCAGGGCAATTGAGAGTTTTTAGTTTTTACCATCAACAGTTGACGCAAAGAGCCTTACTTTATATCAAGTATAGTCCCCCTACTCTGAGTTCCATTACAAAAGAATATGCCTCCTACAATAGATTCAATTTCCTGTGACTGTAAAGTACTCAAGTACAATCAAGCAATTCAAAGTCATTAGTACAATGTAGTGCTTGCATGTACAAGTCTGCTCATTTGGTTTGATTTGATCTGCCCTTACTATGATTGATTAACATATCTACACGTGTATTTTATCAACAGTTGACAAAATGTCTGACTTTACATAAAACACATTTCTTACATTTAAAGTGTGCAAAAAATAAATCTTTTCATAACCAAAACCACTGTAACAATATAAAAACAACTTTTAATCAAATAAACATGAATTCCCAACCTAGCTTAAACATTACTTAAACATAGTCATTCTAATGATTTCCCCTGCAAAACAATGTTTTTCTATTTTCTGCTTAAGTGTTTGATGTGGCTAAACAGCATATAATCATATTAAAACAATTATGTGATATAAATGTGAAAAAGTGCGTAAATATGCAAACAGACAAATATGTTTGAAGCAGAGTTTCTGTTTCACCGATCAGATATGCTTTATAAGCCTCGCAACTCCATTTTATATAAGTGAACATTGTGAATGTTCAGATATAAAAAAATAAGATTTTTTCTTTTGACATTACAAGGCGGGTAGACTGACTGTTTTTTAAATGCATTTATAACCACCATATATGTTTTCAGTTGAAAGTCTTTACCAGCTTGGGTCACAGTGAGACATCTGTGAGGTTCACACACAGTTTTGGGAGATAAGGTGTATTTGGGGATATCTGTGGTTACTTATCTCCAAGGTTGATTTATTTTTTCCAACAACTTTTCCTGGCTGCTCTGAGGCAAATGTTAAGTAACACATTTGGGGTATGTTCAAGCGCTATATAAGGAGGAGAAAGTCTCCCTGAATCTCTACTGAAGATAGTCACAATGAAGTTCGTGATCTTGGCTTTGTTTGTCGCTGGTGGTAAGCTCTGAAACTGATTCTGATAGGACGAGTAAATGTGTTGCTATATCAACTGTGTACATTTGTTTAACACAAAGTTGTAGAAAAGTTTGATGTGAAGCATCAAGTTTGAGGAAATCACATTTTATCCTTATGCCAAAAACTACTTTGAAACATTTTTGACAGTTCAAGATAAAGAGTTTATATCATAAAATCACCATATTCTGTACTTTTGTTCATTAGCCTATGGGTGTGGTCTGCCCACCTTCACCCCCACCATCACCAGGGTGGTTGGTGGAGATGATGTCCGTGAGCACAGCTGGCCCTGGCAGGTATGCCCCTTTAAGACTTCTCATTAAACATCTTTGTCTTCTATTCATTCCCTAAAGTCTTTAAACATGTCACGGTGTGTTCTTCTCAGGTGTCTCTGCAGTACAAGAGTGGCAGCAGCTTCTACCACACTTGCGGTGGCACTCTGATCTCCAGAGAATGGGTCCTCACTGCTGCTCACTGCATCGGGTATGTTAAAAAAATTAAAGAAATCTAAAATGAAGAAGGTATAAAGGCAAAGGGGACAGAGAGAGCCAGGTAAGCCACTTAGTAGACAGGATGAGTGAGGCAGTATGGAAGTAAAAACAAGTTAATTTACTGCAGTCTGGTATGTAAGATTTGAACTGTGGTCACTGATTGTTAGTACAGTATATATACATTTTTCTTTAAAAGGGGCAACCAGAGAATTTAAAACGTGTTATATTGTTT